CCGCGGTCGCGGTGGACCAGCCTTCCGGGGCCGTGGTAACTTTGCATCGCGCGGCGCATACGTTCCTCCAGGCCCAGTCTTCCGAGCTCCACCAGCTCCTCGACATGATCCGAGTGCGCCTCTCGATCCAGACTCTTTCTCTCGCCCTGCCCCCAAAGTGGGCCCAGTTCGCGGCGGTGGACGGCGAAAGCTATGGGAGCCCAACTAGCAAACCGAAAGATGAGCGTCAGTAGCAACGCAGTAGTCGAAATTCACAACGCCGCCATCGAACGGAACGTTGAACACGATCAAGACATGAGCCATCAGTACACAAGGGGCTTTGAGCAGGATAGGACAGGTACTGGACAGTACGGTGACCTCGCGGCCCCTTAGTCTACATCACATCATGTCAACGCTGAGCAAAAAATGAGCGCAGGTCTTAGCAACTGGTCCAACGGAGCATCATGTCCCACATCCTTCCACTCACAGTCAACCCAGAGCTGTCGCTACATCTAACGACTTGACCGGGGTCGACTACACTTTTCAAGAGCATACCTTCTTATTGGGTTTGTTCTCTACGAGCACTCTCTCCTTGTGTGGTTTTGCGCTCATTCTTGCTTTACAACAAAATTGCACAATTGCCTCGTTCGCTACATGGTCATGGTACCTCTGCCGCCCATTTACGGCTAAGAATGTTACCATCCACTTCGAACGAGGTTCTAATATTTGCTTTACCGCCTTCTTGTACGCTTGTCTGTGAGACTGAACGATAGTCTGCCGTAGGAAGCGCGTGCGGGATAAGGGAAGAAACGCCATAGCTATCATCAACTAGGAATAAATCTTTTGTTCTTGGAGGTTTCCACTCGCATGATAGGCTTGACAGAGGTCGATAGATTGATGTCTCTTCGTGAAGTATCGTCAGATTAACTATATAGACACGGAAGGAAGGGCCAGATGCCTCGTTCTCTCCTGCAGTACCATATCAATGCGCAAGAGAACGTGCATACTTAAGTGCCACGGGCGGCTACGTTATTATCCAGTTTGCTGCCTGCTCTAAACCTGATATATTACAGTCTGTCGAGTAGCAGCATAATCAGTATTTATGAAACGGCTCAGTTTCATGCTTGCACAAAGGAACATGAACACATCAGTATCGAGAGAGCAGCATGTATTTGAAACTATACAAAGAAGAGATGGACACAAAACTCTCCCAAAAACAAGACAAATGGCTATTTTCGCCATGCAACCCCCTACTTCGATCAATTTACTCCCTCACACCCCTTAGCAACCTTCCAAAAGCACTTTGCCTTTTCCTCTTCAGTTCGTTGAAGCTACCCTGTTCAACCACCCTTCCTTGATCCAACACAACAATGTGCTCAGCAATAGCCATCATCTCCCGCGCATGCGTAATGATGATGACTGTCATCCGTTTCTTCGGTCTGTTGCCCATATTACTACCACTGCCCACAGTCATCCGCTGCTGCAGGGGATATCCAACTTTGTAATCCCAATTCCCCTCTATCTCATCCCAAAACCAACCTGAACGGTTCCAGGGTGATGTGGGTGGGGATATAGTGGATCCAGTGTCTTCGATGCCGTGAACGAGACTGAGGATGGTGTCGCGGATGGTCTGAGCGGAAGTTACGTCTAGCGCGCTCGTTGCTTCGTCGAGGATGAGCACATCGGGATTTCTAACGAGGGCGCGTGCGATTGAGACGCGTTGGGCTTGGCCTCCGGATAGACATGTGCCGCCTTCGCCGATAAGCGTGTTGTAGCCTTGGGGCAGGCTGTCGATGAACTCAGCTATGCCAGCTGCAGAGGCGGCTGCGCGGATGCTTTTGATGCTTGTTTCGGGAAGTAAACGGGATAGGCCGTAGGCGATGTTTTCTGCGACAGTGCTGGGGAAGAGGACGGGCGTTTGTGATACTATGGACATCCGGGAACGGAGGATGGTAGTATGCAAGGTCTTGATATCGTAATTCGAGACGGTCATATCGCTTGACGGGTTGGAGGATGCGAGTGGGTTGTTGCCTACTTGGTAAAGTTTGAGGAGGAGAGAGGCAATTGTAGATTTGCCTGCCCCCGAGGATCCGACGATAGCGGTGCAGCTCCCTTGTGGAATTTGAAACGACACGTCATGCAGTACTCGGATCTCAGGCCGGGCTGGATAACTGAAGGTGACTTTGTTCAGCGAGATGTCACCTGCAGACTGTATCTGAATTTCGCCGATAAGCTCGTGTGAATCCTTTGGTAGTCGTGCGAGACGTAGTAATCGTGACCCAGCATCCCTTGCCATGTTGACCTGAGTGACGTAGTTCGCCATATAGCTGACTTGATTGACACTAAGCATGAGAACCAAGAAGCATTCCAACACTTCATTGACAGTGTACTCATTTTTCGACATGAGATAACCTCCATACCAGTATAGCAGGATAGTTACGAAGATGACTCCAGTGAATGAAAGTCCGTGAATGGATGCACAGTATATTGCGCGCTTGATGCCGACATTCACGGCTTCGGTGGTTGCGTTGGTATACCTTTCCTTGAAGTAATCTTCCAAAACTAGGCATCGAACGGTCTTGATATTGACGAACGCGTCGTGGAGCACTTGACCAACCTTGTCAGCGGCCTCATTTTCCAATCTTTCCCAGCGGCTGCTGATAACGTTGTAGCACTTCGTGATTACGAAGAGAACAGGACCGGTTGCGAGAGCAGCCAGGGCCAACTCCCATGCTATGACCATGCTCCAAAAGATAGAAATACAAACCATAAGATTCATAGTGAGAAAGACACAAGCAAACCGGCCTGGAAGATTTCGAGCGTCTTCAGCAGAATGATCCAACGTCTCGGCAAGCCGCGACACGCTGTTTTCTTCCTTGTCGAAGAACTTCCGTGGTTGCATGAGGATGCGCCGCATGGCTTCCTTCTTCAGCGAAAGAGTCCACGCCTGCGCTACTGTATCTGAGAGGAAGAACATGAGGTAGCACGATAAACCATCGAGAGCGGCAATACCAAGAATGACGAGGGCATATTTTTGGGACATTTCCTTCCTAGCGCCAGACACGTAAAAGGTAGTCAAAAGCTGGGCGAAAACCCATGCAAATACTGGTGTGCATGCAGCATGAATCGTTGCGCTGAAGGATGCCGCTAAAATGAGGAGACGCGGACCCCAGCCTATAGCGGGCCACACAGACATGACTATCTCTTTCATGGGAAGAGAAGCGGCCGGGAAATCCTTGTCTTCACTAGGGTTCTTTTTGCGGAAGCGTTTGATTCTCTGAAGAAGCTTATCGTTTCTCGAAGATTTCTTCGGTGCGTCCGAAAGAACTGGGACAGACTCGTTGGTCGCAAAGGGTCGCGAGTACGGACCGATCGGCGAGACCGGTCGCGTAGATAGTTTGGGGTCTGAACGTGAGCTATGTTCTTTTGAAAACGACAGAGAGCGTCTGTGGAGATTCGACCTTGAAACAGGTCTCGAGCCATGGTCTTTCGATAAGATCCTTTTCTTGACGGGAGACGGCATAAACGGGAGATGTCTCGATGCCACAGAATCTGGAGATGCTTGATTCGTCTCAATGGGCTCCATCTTACCGCCTCTATCAGCCGTCTGTTCATGGATGGATAGCCTTGGGCCTGGGCCTACATCGACCGGTACAGTACAGTCCCAAGACGCGCGGGTATTCTCGGAATAAGTCTCCAGCACTGACTGTCCAAAGTGAACAGCAGATAGCGGACGTGTCATAGAAATGATCCGGGCTGTCCGTGACTCCTCGTGTAACACATTGCCGTCACCAGCTTCAGGCCCCCAATAGGAGTCGTCCTCATGATCATCAGACTCATCGTCTGTGTCAGCCTCGGTGTGCGTATCAAGAAAAGACTTGAAAGATCCATTTTGTGACTCGATCTCTTTTCGACACCCCTGTTGTACTACCCGGGCGTTGTCCAGCAAGTACAGGAAGTCGTTGGGTCGGATCTGCGAGATGTCATGGGTAATGATAATCGTTGTCTTCCCTTTCCGCCAGCTTCGTATAGCGTCAAGCATCTCGGCTCGTGTAACGTAATCAAGAGAACTGGTTGATTCGTCCAGGATCAGCACCGGCGAGTTCCGAATCCTAGCTCGAGCTAGAGCCATTCTTTGTCTCTGCCCTCCACTCAATGAGCCGCCCTTCATGCCGAGTTCAGTATCCAGTCCATTGGGAAGGCTCTCCATAACAGGTTCTAGCATAGCAAACTTGACTGCATTGCGGATATCTTGCATATCCACTGCATCACCTAGCTGACCAAGAGCGAGATTGTGGCGGATAGTATCATTGAACAGCACGCTGTGCTGCTCAACAAGCGTGACATTCTGTCGTAACCATTTGACGTCCAAATCTTCGAGTGGAACGTCATCCAGGAAGATCTGTCCTGAAGAAGGCCGATAGAAGCGGACGAGAAGTTGTCCTAGTGTGCTCTTTCCGGAACCGCTTTTGCCGACGACAAAGGTCGTCTCTCCAGCCCGGATCAGAAGCGAAGCATCTCGAATGGCAGTCTCGTCTGCGCGTGAAGGATATGAGAATGTGACCTGGTAAATAGTTAGTAAGGAGCATCGACGCGGCGTGAGAAGCATTACCTTTCGAAATTCGAGCTGGCCCGTACATCTCTCAGGCCGCAGTTTGCCTTGCGATTCGAATTGCTGATCGCTCGTTGAAATCAGCTTCATAAGCACACTTAATCTTGCACCGGCCATCTTTCCTTGCTGCAATACAATCAGCTGAGGCATTATCTGGGTCATCCCAGACATTGCCATAAGTGCTGCCCAGAACGTCGTGAGGACCTGTTTTGGGTCACTTTCCCCGGTTTCGACGAGGTGACTACCATACCAGAACCCTTGAACAAAAACGCTGATCGTAAAAAATTGCATAATGCCGATCTGCATAGAGCGGAAATTGGCCACGCTTCTGTATAAGCTCGCTGCAATGGTGACGATGCTGGTAAAGACGTGGAGTTCGTATCTTTCCCCGTTGAAGCATTTAACCGTCTCAATACTTGTTACTGCAGTCGTAATATATTTCAGTGCCGACTTCAAGTTCTCGGAATGCTCGTGTACTCGTAGTGACAACCGCTTTGCCACTGAGGATTGAACCAAGTATAGAACTGGTGTTGTACACAAGACGACCAATGTTAGATTCCACGAATAGTAAAAAGCGACCCCCAAGGATGCGACACCCTGCACGAGCGACTGGACAGCTTCGCCAAAAGGAGATGATACTGCAAGCTGCAAGTCGCGCACGTGCCTGTTCTTCGTTAGCGAACGTATTCCTACGGCGATTCCGACATTAGAGTGGCACCTACATCTGTACTGTCGGCAGAAATGCGGCGATTCCATCCTCCCGCGTATCGAACCAAGCCATATCCTTTTTGATAAGAGCATCGAAGATTCTGTTGCGAGCACTCCTCGCCTGGAGCTCTCCGAACATGAGAAAGAAGAGATAGTAGAAACTATTGGCAATCCAGTTGAGTGTTGCGAGAGCGGTAAGAATTACGCAGAACCTGGCCATGTTGCTCATGAGTTGGCTGCTGCTTATCGATCCTTCGCCATAGCTTGTGTATTGACCAAATACGAGACCGTAAAGGATTGCGAAAGCGGGCATGGACAGCGCAGCGACGGACGCCATCGCAATACCGCCAAGCAGTGCGGGCATATGCTGTTTTGTGGCGAAAGTGAACAACGTCCTCCATCCCACGTTCGTTATATAATCCTGCTCCTCATCATTCAGAGATGGCGGCTTTTCGGAACGGGCGGTCGCATTTGGATTAATCGTCGTCGCCATCTTGGCCACTCGACGGCAGCGACTGCGAAAAGAGAGTGTAAGGTGGTGGAATCGACAAAAGGTAAGAGCGACCCAAAGGCGAGATGAAGTGAGAACAGAGAATAGGGAATTACCACATATGGACTAGTCGGTGGCGGCCATGTGGTCGTAGCCCTGGAAAGATGGTTTCCGCGCACCTGCTTTCGTCGCTTACTTTGTCTTTCCTTAACATTGTTCTCCAGCCACCAATCGCCGCCTTCACGGAAAGCCCAAAAATTGCATCCGCTCATGCGATCACTTTAGAACGAGATGAAACAGTGGCTTCCTCCGCGCAGGTCATCAGCGGATGGTGAGCTGAGAGCGACACACCTGATGCAGCGCTTTGTTGGTCTTGTAGTTGACATGCACAGTATAGGCCGGCGACTGACGAAGATTATACGTTCACCAATACGTCAATTACCAAGCCAATATGGTACTCCACCGATGATCCAGTGGCTTGCATGACAGATATTCATAGACGGTCATAGCTGGGCGGCCGACAAAGAACGTGAGCTCGTAAGCGACGAACAAGTGACGGGCCGGATGTCGACAATGCAGCCGCGTATTGGCGTCCCTTGCGAACAATAACTTGGAATTTAGAATTTCCAGGATCATCCTGCGGCGAACTACTTGCCCTGCGCCTTCTCGTATATCCAGTCATTCAGGCCTTCTCGGTTACTGCGCATGTCAGCATCGGGCGCGCCGCTATATCCAGGGCGTAGCTTACCGTGCGATTTCAATAGCGTAGAACTGCATTCGAACAGCGAATATTGTGCCTTCCTGGCTGTATTCCATCTTGGGACTTGCGCGCAGCATTGTGCCGAAGTTGTAGTCCTCGACCTTCTTCTCGTACTCACTGATGAACTTGCGCCATCGCTCCTTCCCCTCCTTGCTCTTCATCTCATCCTCGTTTAGTGTGGCTGATGCGTCGAACTCGGGGAATTCCGTCTTGAGGTGTTCGTAGATTTCGTCGTCGATCTTGGTGAGTCGCAGCTTGGAGCCGGGTACTTTCTCGAGGATCTTCCAGTATGTTTCCATGTGCTGCACAACTGTGTGATACTGTCAGCATGGTCGCGACCGGCAGGTCTCGTGATCTGTACCTTTGACCGCGAACTGCTTCTCGATCTGTAGACGCTGTTAGCGATGACTGTCGACGCGCTGGCTTTGGGGTACCTGCATCCTCAAAGTTCTCAGTCTCCTCTGGATTGATGCTCGTGCCTAGTGGGCCTGCGAGAGACATGTTGGCGATTTTGCTAGGGAAATACTATCTATGGGTAGTTTGAAGTGAGAGTGTAGAGAGTGATGTGGGTGCTTGTAGCAGCAATCAGCGCGGTGAAGGCCGACAAAAAATCGCGGAAACGCACTCCGTCATTGCCCCGCCACGCCCGCCACACTTCGCGGGGCTGACTCAACCCCAATTTTCCCATCATGAACACCAACCTCACATATGATTCTGGCGAGCCAATGTTGCCAACTCTACACGTGAGTCTGCATTGCATCGAGCCAGACAGCAGCTAATCACCGCAGCATGAATGCATTCGCGTACCAGTGACAGCACTGGCCTCTTGCGGCGCTCTGCTGATCGCTGCAGAAGGCCCCTTTTTACGCTTCCACCATGCCAGCGACTCGCGGTACATCTCTTCGGAGCGCGTCTTCAAAGCTCAAGCAATCCATGGAATACGCGTCTTTTCGGAAGAGCATGCGCACGTTATCAAACTGGTCATCTGGGGTGGAAGACTGGTCCGCGCCCTCGAGATTGACTTTGCAGATCAAGTTGGCCAACAAGGCCTGAGCCTATGTTTCTCCAACGTCGCGAAAGCTTCAGATTGGATTCTTGATCTCGCTCCTCGTCCCAAAGGCCTGGATGACGATGCTCAGTACCACAAAGGATCCTGCATGGCTGTCACTGCTCATAACGCACTGCTGCACGTTGAGATGGAACAAAGGACGTCGGACGACTTCCACATGACCAAGTGCGCATACCACACATTGATCCGTTGGAGTATGATTTTCTTGCTGACATTTTGATTTCAGTTACATCGATGTAGCTGTATCTGATCTTACTTCAAGTTCTCGATCTATCCTCTACTCCGCTCACCTGTTCTGGGAGAATCTAAACCAGGTCCTCGTTGCTGCTGGTACAGCGTTCGGTGAAATTATATACTGGTCATGGTCCGACAATGGCGGCGGTGGATCCGCCTCCCGTATTCATCGCGTCTTTTTGGGTCACGAGGGCTCAATTTTCGGGGTCCAGATTTCGGAAGAGCTACTCACCGAATGTTGTCAAAGACTGAGGCGGGTGGTAGCAAGCTGCAGCGATGACCGCACAATCCGAATATGGGACGTATCGGATGTGAACACTAGTGCCACTACCTCGGAAGCTCATAGCAATGACTTGGAGATTCTGAGAACTCGTCATACCGGCTTTACCAACGAAGCTTTCGACTCAAATGAGTTTAATAGCTCGAGCTGTCTCGCCATCGGGTGGGGTCATCTTTCACGCGTTTGGACGGTCCGCTTTCTCGAAGCATCGCCATGCAATGGATCACTGTTGCTCCAGTCTGCCGGTGAAGATGCAACTGCAAGGACGTGGGAACTTACGCCAAACTCCGGAAGTAGCACGAGCTTTCCTTACAGGTTGTTAGAACTTGACTGCACCGCGCATCATAGCGGGAAGAACTTGTGGTCGAGTGTTGTTTTCAATGACTCAACAGGAATACAGCAGGTTATTGCAGGTGGCGCTGATAGTAAAGTCACCGCTTCCCCGTTATTGCGCATCCTGCAGGCAGAGAAGAACTTACGTGGTGCGATCGCTGAGTATACTGTACACGACATATTATCATGGGCGCAAGTGGCCGAGCCTGATCCAAACAGGCCTGAATTTGTGGACGGTCCAAAGTCCCCAAGGAAAGCAGAGTTCTTCAGGAGCTATTGCTTTGTCGATGAAACCTCATTTCTGCTTACTACTAACTCTGGAAACGTACTTATCGGCGCCATTTCGTCCAGGACAGCCCCATGTCAATCAAGCCTCCTTTCAAACTCAAAGTTACTCGATGAACTGAAAGATCTTTCTGGTTATTCTGTCTGCACGAGTGGCTGCCGTCCTGGTTTCGCTTACATCGCTGGTAGTAGCGGCAACATCTACGTGTACAGTAAGGAGTCTAATACCCTGGCAAATCTGCATGCCATTGGTAGCAAAGTCGGAGACATCTTCGCTGTGGAGGTATCAGACACGGATGGTCCAAATACGGCGGCATTACTTGTGACCCTTGTTGGTCAAGGTGAAGCGCAATTGCTATACGTGGACCCTGATAGCAACACGAACGTTCTGAGAGTTGTGCAGATACCCATTGCAGAATCTTCAACCGGTTCGGTCATCACGAGTATGACTTATGCAAGAATACCCGGGAGAGACATTCTCATCATTGGGTTCCGTCGGGGTTCGATCGCACTGTATGAAATCCGTAAAGGTGAGGGGGGTACGGATGTTGCTATCTTGCTACGGATCATTGAGAAAGCACACGGTGCGGAAGCAGTCACTTCTCTTACATGGTGTCCCTCATCTGGAGGCTCCGTAGGCTCCGTACACGGCCACCTGTTCTCCGTAGGAAGAGATGGGCGTCTCAGCGTACACCAGTTCGATGCATCTGCAAACGTTGTCGAGCTGGTGCATGATCTTGCGGTACCATTCGGACCAAACATTGAAGGTTTATACTTCCAGGACGACCATCTCCTCATACACGGCTTCTCAAGCAAGAAATGGTATCTCTACGATGTCACTAGCGAAGAGCAAGTCATGAGCATCGAAACCGGAGGAGCGCATAGAAGTTGGGCCTTCCGGTCACATTCGTCGCTAGGAGGTATCCTAGTATGGACTCGAGCCTCTAGTATGCATATATGCAGTCAAAACAGACCGAATCATACTGTCGTTCGACGAGGGGGTCATGGACGCGAGATCAAGGCGGTCGCAGTTGCATCGGAGATGAACGGTAGACCTCACGCGCTCATCGCCACAGGCGCTGAGGATACCGATATCAAGATTTTCCGCCATGTTGATGATGATCTGATATGCCAAAGGACTATTCGCAAGCACACCACGGGGATTCAGCATCTACAATGGTCGCAAGACGGTGACTATCTGTTCAGCAGTGGTGGCTGTGAAGAATGTAAGGTTTTGGTACAATGCTGCAAAGCTGCTGCTGACTTCCTTCACAGTCTATGTATGGCGGATCCGGGACTTACCCGCCTCCGCCCTTGACATTGGAATCGTGTGCGAACATGTGTACACGCCAGAAAGTGAGCACGCAGATTTGAGACTCATGTCTTTCGATGTGACCACATCGGGATCCGCACATACTATCACGATGGTGTTCTCAGATTCCAGCATCAAGGTGAGCTGATCTCCGTATTCTCAATGTAGCATGGCGCTGATTTAACAAGATCTATCGTTATGATCCTGCCGCTACTGTCACATGGCAGCCTCTTGGAAAGGGTCTCTACTTTACATCCTGTTTGACACAGTGCAAGTTCCTCTCTAGAGAAAAGGTCTTGACAGCTGGTACCGATGGCCATATTGTAATATGGCCGCTAATGGCAGAAACCGAACGATCGCGTGGAAAATCCACTGGGTCAAATGATCATTTGACATGGCACCATCCGGCAAGGATACATCAAAGCTCCTCAAAAGCCATGACATCCCGAGCCATTAGTGCGGATACCTGGCTCATCGTATCCGGTGGTGACGATGGCAGTCTGGCGTGTGTACTCGCACAGTCTACGTCTTTGCCGTCGTCGACTTCGCCTACGACAACCCATGTTCCGCCACCCATCCTCGTCAGTCGCGCACATGGCTCTGCAGTAACGTCGTGCGCTCTCTTCAGACATAAATCACACATTTTCCTTGTCACATCAGGAAATGACGAGTGGATCAGATTGTGGCGGATTGTACTGCGTAAGGCTAACTCCGAAGCTGGAGCTGAAACTGCAGCACAGCATGAAGGCGCTCTGACGGTCCAGAGAATAAATAGAATCAAGACCAATGTTGCAGATGCGTCGAGTATGGCGGTGCTTGATGAAGGCAATGGTGGTGGCGATGCGAGGGTGCTGGTCTGTGGAGTGGGCATGGAAGTCATACGTATAGCTTTGGATGGGTGATAGACAATCGATAGGCATGATGGTCATTCGTCCGCACCCAAATGTCTGCTGCTGTGAGTTTGCACAGGTGCGATTGGCGGCCAAGCGATTGTTGCCGGAGCAACGCGTGTCCCGATGCGGCTAGTCGTCGTTCGCGCTTTGACAACATAACACGGCAAGCACGTCCACAACCTCGACTGAACCAGTCTCACCCCAGACCGACAACGACATACCACCAAGACAGCGAACATTGACAGACATCATGGTCGCTACACGTCGCGGTGCGAAAACCGCCCCAGAGGTCGCCTCTGCACCCCCCAACACGCTCAACGCCCCTCCCAAGCGCGGCAGGAAGAAGGCAGTCGAGGGAGCTGCTGAGCCAGCGCCTGCCCCGGCCAAACCCACAAAGACAACTGCTGTAAAACGCAAAGCCAGGGCTGAGCCTGAGGATGCTGAGCCGCCCATGGCCAAGAAGACTGTTGCGACAAAGGCCGCGCGCACCATCAAGGTCCAGACCAGAGCCGCACCCGCCCCTGCTCCAGCAGTGAGGGCGACGCGTGGTCGCAAAGCCGAGGAGCCTGCCGCTACAGAGGAGCCCGAAGCCATTGAAGAGGCCCCTAAGCCAACAGACGCCCGTACGCGCAAGATCGCAGCAGTGAAAAAGGCACCTGTACCCAAGGTCGAGAAGCCTGCTGTCGCCCCAGAGCCTGCCGTCGAAGAAACAGCCAAGCCAGCATCAAGAGCTGTACGCAAAGCACCCGCAAAGAAGACACCCGTTTCCAAGAGCGAGCCTGCATTTGTCGACAAGACCGTCGCCAGCGAGCCTGCTAAGCCAGCTTCCCGTACACGCAAAGCAGCAGTGCCAAAAGCCTCCGCACCCGCACCCGTCATTGTACTGAGAGCCACACGCGGTCGTAATGCCCCTGCAGTCCCACAGGAGTCGCCGCTCAAGGCTCCGGCCCGCAAGCTCACAAAGAAGGCTGCTGTTGTCACTAAGGCGAAGTCTGAGCCAGAGCCGGCCGCTCAAACAGTCGAGGAGCCTGTTGCGGAGATCATCGAGCAATCTGTTGTAGAGGCAGACGAACATGCAGTCATTGAAGAGGTGGAGCAGCCTGTCGTGGAGGCAATCGAGAAACCGTTCGCAGATTTCCCTACCTACCCGACAACCCCCTCCCACATCACTGCCCCCATGACCTCAAGAGAGGCCATCGCCGAGCTTCCCGGCTACCCCACGACTCCCTCGCATATCCTCGCACCTTTGTCGAACAAGGCCGCTCTTACCGAACTCGCAGGATATCCCACGACACCTGCGCATATTGCTGCACCTGTCGCAATCGCTACACCCGAGGTTCAGGCCGAACTCATCGAGCATGGGTATAATGATATCGCCATGAGCGATGTTGAGGAGAAAGAAGCAGTCGACCAGATTGAGGCTTGTCATACTTCTACAGCTGCCGAGAGCGCGGTCGAGGCCACAATAGAAGTGCCAGAGGGCCCTCAGCACGTCGAGAATCCGCACATTGTTGAAGAATCTGACTGCCAGGGCCGCCAGACTACAGCCGATGTCTCCTTGACACCGGCTGCAAAGACCCAGGTATCGGTCCAGCTAAAGACACCATACTATGATGCGACGCCCGCCCAGCGTTCGTGTTCGGAGATTTCTGGCACTCCACCTGCACAGATCGTCTGGGGCGTCACCGATCAGGAAGCATTCGAGGAGCTTCCTGAGGCGTACCCTGCCACACCCGCCCACATCATCGCGCCCATCACCTCCAAAGCAGCACTGGCCGAACTCCCGGGTTACCCCAAAACACCAGCTCATGTCAGCGCGCCTGTGACCTCCAAGGCAGCATTGGCCGAGCTCCCCGATTACCCCAAAACACCAGCTCATATTAAGGCACCAATGACTCCACGTCGCGCTCTCGCTGAACTGCCCGACTACCCCACAACACCAAGCCTGGCTCTCGAGGCTGCTCTCCAGGAAGAGATCACTGCTTCAGTCAAGAAACAGACACCGTCACCTATAAGATTCTCAACTCTGAAGAACGACTCATTCGATCTCGAGGAACCAAGCGAGCTTGCCGACTTCACTGAGCTCACTGAAGCTAGCAAATACAGTGAGATCGCACCTACAGACACATCTATCGAGGCTTCTCCTTTTATTACTAATACAACCATGCATCTGGCTCCGCTCAAACTTACACCTACTTTTGCAGCCCTCGAGCCAGTGTCACCGAAGAAGTCCGCGTTGCGATCACCTCAGAAGGTCATGGACGCTAAGACTCCTAAGAAGACTGTCGCTTGGACAGACGTTCCAGCAGACGAGAGCGATCTATTCCTCTACGAAGGCATCCTTCAGGGCATGGTCTTCTACGTCGATGTCACACGGAACGGTAGGGAGCAGAACTTCTTGTTCCGCGGTCTGCTCGAGGATCTGGGCGCAAAGGTAGTACAAGACATATCGCATGCGTCTCTTAGCCACGTTCTCTTCAAGGATGGAAGCATGTCCACACTGGAGAAGTGCCTTGAAAGCAAGGGAGCCATCAAGTGTGTCAACGTGGGGTGGGTGTTGGATAGTGAGTCAAACAAGAAGCGTATGGACGAAGACCATTACCTGGTCGACCTATCCGTTGCGAAGCCAGCAACTCCTCTGCCTACTACTACGGCGAAGCCATTCACACCTTTCAAGACTCCTTCCAAGTACGCGCTACCTCCTTCATCCCAGTGCAAGATGCCTAGCACTCCGACAAGTTCAGAGTTCGATCGCTCTTTCAATGACGACAAGGAAAACTGCGAAGTTGGCATGTTCTTCGACGACAAGAGCCCGCTTGCACCTCGCACACTTCCCGTCAAGAAGTCGTCTTTCTTGTTCAGCAGATCAGCCATCAAGACCCCATCAAAGTCCATCTTCCTTGGGGCGACGCCATCGAAAGCGACCTTGTCGGCTATGAAGCCTGCGCCTCAGGCCTTCACCACTGTCAAGAAGCGCCCCGCAGAGTCTTCCTTCTTCAACAGCTCCCTCGGTCCACCCAAGAAGCTGCGCCTCTTGTAGTCATGTCATCGATTCTGCTGGCATTCAAAATGCTTATTTTGTTTACGGAGTTTGGAATATCATGCAGGCATTGGGTAGGCGTGGATAGATCAAGGTGTTTGGTATCCGTTTCGCAAAGTTTCGGTCGTGCTGTTGTCATCCCTGTCATCCCTTCATCGCGGCTTGAGGGTTTCCATTGAGTGCTGCCTCCCTTAAAGGGTTGGCCTTCGTGGGAATCCAACATAGCCAGATGAAGGGCGCACATATGGCGTCTTTGCATACCTTGGCTCTTGCTTGTTCATTGTCTTTCTCTTGTGCGGTTACGTGGAGTCTTGCATGTTATGGATGGACGATGCTGTACGAAACACAGTTGAGCATTCTTGGCGTTCCTGGACACACGGGCACTCCAATGGAGACGACCACGATTAGGGTCACCTGCTTTTGTCTTATATTACCTATTGTCTCGTTTCGGTACGAATGACAGCACGAATGCTCCATGCTTTTACTCAATGGGTTGGGCTTGCGTAGGACCCATTGTCAACTGGCGGCCTTGCGAGTGACTAGTGTAATTCATTCATTGTACTAACATTACTTCTCATTCGAGAGCGCTGGTCGTACGGGTGTAAATGCAGTCCAATATGGTGCAGGCGCAAACACATCGAAAGTAACATCCCTGCAACATGTGCAATAGATGCATACTTTCTAAGCACGTTGGATTATCAGGGCTCAGGTGCTCTTCATTGTGATCAACTCGAGGGTCTAAGCCCTCCGATAATCCTATCCAAGCTACCGAAATTGGTCTAGTAGAAACACGGGCTGTCTATGTCGTTCATATCGCATGTAATGAAAATTTTGCGGTCCAGCGCCTGGCGCACCAGTATAGTGGTCTGGCGCATCTAGGCGCTGCCGTTGACCTTGCGTCCCTGAATAAGACCACGAATACCGCCCTTGCCACCTACTTCGCGAATGATGGCATTTATGCTCAGGTCGGCACCGATGTTGATCTGGACCTCGACCTTTCCTCCCTTCTTGACACCACGAACTGCAGCTTCGCTCAGCACTTGTCCAACCTTCCATGTCTTCTCCCGTAGCTCCTCTTCCTCTTCCTCGCTGTCGTCGTCGCTGTCATCCGAATCATCCTCGTCTTTTTCAGCCTTGGGCTTGGGCTCTGGCTTTGTGACCTTGATGTGTCGTGAGCCTTCCGCAAGCTTGATGAGCACGTCACCTCCCTCTCGTGGCGTTGCAATGGTCGCAGTGCGTCGGACAGGTAGTTGTGTCTCCGCGTCGACGATGGCGTGAAAAACGCCAGATGACTCATCACCCGAGATGCACAGCACACCAACAGCGGTGGAAAGGTGGGGTGTGACAGTGACCATAGGGTGGGTGCTTTGTTCAATGTCCTCAAGCTCAAACTCCTGGATAAGGCTGGCTTGGATAGCAGCACCACGGGCTGACAATTCCGAGGGGTTGATGGCTGATGGGGATGTGGAAGGTGCGAGGACGGTGGTGGATTCCGGGAAGGCTGAGCGTACCGCAGAAGCGACCTTGGGAGTGTGAGAGTTACCGCCAGCCAAGATAATCTCGGAGATGTCGAGAGGATCCAAGTTGGCCTTCTCCACAGCTTGAGTGACAAGACGAGTAAAGGCAGAGAACAACTTGCTTCCCAGGAGATCGTAGCGGGTGCGGTTGATGGTCGCGGTGAAGTCGGTGCCGCCTACTAAGCTCTCGACGGAGAAGTTGGCGGTGGTACCAATGGAAAGCGCCTTCTTGACAGCTTCGCACTCAAGCTTCAACTTGGCCAACGATCGGTCGTTTTCCCGAGGGTCACCGGCCGACTTGTGCTTCTTGAGGAACTCCTTGGCGAAATGTTCCATGAGCACTTGGTCGAGCTTGGAGCCACTGACATCGTAGTCGTGTAGAGTGGCCAGGATGGTGTAGATGCCGCCACGGGACGCAACCACAGCCACGTCCGAACGGGTGCCTCCCAGATCGGCGACGACGATGATCTTGTCAGCCAACTGCGCACCAGGACGGGCATCGTATGCTAGGACAGCAGCTGTGGGCTCGTGGATGAACTGTAGGACCTCGATGCCAGCGTTTGTCGACGCCTTCTTGAGGGCCTCCTTCTGGGCATCACTGAAGTTTGTGGGTACGGTGATGACGGCGGCGTTGACCTCCTTTCCAAGGTAGTCAGAGGCAGAACTCCGTAGTCTCTTCAGGTGACGTGTTGTGGCATCGATAACGGATACGGTGTTCTCCTGCTCGTCGGCGGTATCGCGGATGTTGAATGCAACGCCGTCCTCGTGCTGTACGGGATGGGCCGACTGGTGGCATGGGGAGGGGTCTATCGATTTGTAGCTGCAGGGTGTCAGTCGACGTGGTTGGACAGGTAGGATAGGATTGCCTACTCTTGGCCGAGGAAGTCGCGGAAGTAGGCGACTGTGTTCTTCGCATTGCGGACGAATTGGGTCTTGGCCTGGCCTCCGTGTAGTTCTTCTCCTTCGACGTAGGACAGGGCGGTAGGAATTTGACGGTCTTTTCAAGTGTTAGCAGTCGAGGGGATCCAGGGCGTGCAACAGGCGGCGTACCTCCGTCTTCGTTGGCGATGACCTCTGCTTTGCCTTCCTGTTATGCGTCAGAAACATCCAGAGACATTGGCGACAGACATGGGCACTTACACCCGAAGTGAAAGCAATGGAACTGTACGAGTTGCCAAAGGATATGCCTATCGCGACTCGCTGCGCGGGGTCCGCTTGCGCACTCATCTTGCGCGGGGAGACGTTTTCGGGTTACGGAAAGAGGATTCGAGTCAAACGAAAGCCGTTCAGTATCGACAATAAAGCGGCAGAGGCAGGTGAACAGAAGATAGCCGGCTGTGGTAGCGTTTGTAGCGCGTGTGTTTCTTCGCGGCTAAGAAATTCAGAGTCGTGCATTTTTCTCGGAAGCGCACGGGCTTCTCGGAATGAGCTCACTCGAGGGACGGCGCATGTTACCAGGTGCTCTACCACACCCAAGGACACCACTTTGCCAGCACTACCATGGCAGCCTCAGCCACTATCGTACTGCCTGGCGACAACATCGCGCAGAGCGCCCTCCCAACTGGCACAGGCAAAAAGAAGACGCTCACCCTCGGACCCGGTTTGCGACACACGCCGCCAGACACGGTCACGGCCACGGTCGCGGGCGCGCTCGTGACGGACAACAAGAAGAATGCCGCTTCGGTCGAGTTCAACACTGGAAGGGTGAGAGATCTATTCCGTCTCCTCCACCTTGCTTGCTAATCCCCTTGACAGTATCTTCCCTTTGCAGGCGACCTCGTCATCGCGACTGTGAATGGCTCTGCCGCCGAGAACTTCAATTGTCTCCTCACCCCGAACACGCCGGCTGCGACCCTACCCCACCTAGCCTTCGAGGGCGCGACCAAGAAGACGCGGCCCCAGCTGCCCCCAAACTCCCTGGTCTACTGTCGCGTCGCGAGCGCCGGCAAGGACCTACCATCAGAGCTCACCTGTGTCGATCCCTCCACGGGCAAGGGCGAAGGTCTCGGTCTGTTAAAGGGGGGTATGGTGTTCAAGATCAGCCTGGGTATGGCACGGAGGATGCTTGCAGCGCGCGGAGGCATATCTCTGTTGGAAACCCTGGGCTCCAAAATCGGGTTCGAGGTCACCGTCGGCCGAAACGGACTTGTGCACGTTGATGGAGGAAACGTCAAGACGACATTGGCAATTGGACAGGCTATACAAGAGGTGGATGTCGCGGCCCTCGGGGACGAAGCACAGAAGAAGCTTGCTGCCGCGACGCTGAAGCAATGTTGAGGAAGATACGCGGATTGCTATGTCAGACTTTGCAATCGCACGATGGAAGGATGGCGCCATTGTCACGCACGTTGGTCTATGTGAAGACTGATCGTAGGCGGGCTATCAGCTGTTGGCGGACAACTGGCTGTGAAGGGCAAAACTCGACGTTTGCGACTAGCACGCGCGACGCATGAGAGATCGGCGTCCATGTCAATGCCAGACTGAGTTGTCGACGGATGTTACATTGCCAGATTCCGTTGATTATCTGCGTCTGGTCGCACTGGATGAAGACTGTTGGAACCTAATGAGCCCGCCTGAGTACATTAGAAGTGTTCCAGCGAGAGCACATCTGGAGTATCACGATTAGGTGGTCATAGGCGGCACACCCCGTTGGAAGCAAGCAGGTGTCGTAGAACAATTGTTCAAAGGAGTAGTGTGTTTGTAGGCTGAATGATGAACATGTAATATATTTATATTTCTCTAGTATCTGTGCTTGACACTACGGGTCGTGAGCTCCATGAGACGCGACGCCGTCATAGATCAACTCTCAATCTTTGTCTCGTGTCATACACGTCAGCTCCGAGACCGTATGCCAAACTCAGGACCCTTTTTGTACGAAAGGTGGTGTGTCTGCGCCCCTCATAGTGACCCATCCCTGCTAAGCCGACGCTGTCGAGCAGTGTTTCATCGTTCTCTTTTAGCAGATTATCTTTAGGGCACAACACGCTGGGGGTCTCGGGGGAACAGGCTGCACATCCTGATGTTAGGCAATCCGAGCCAGAACTGTACAATCCTCTCCAGACCGAAACCACCTCCGGCGTGCGGCGGGCAACCGTACTTGAAGCAGTCTACGTAGTCCTTGGTTCCAGCACCGGCGGGATCAATCGGGGGATCATGCTTGCGCATCTGCTCTGCGAGCAGCTCTGAGTGATGGATACGCTGTGCACCCGAGCAGATCTCTTGACCCCTCATGAACATGTCATAGGAGTTTGAGAGAGCAGGGTCGGTGGGTGAGGGCATCGTATATGCGGGACGGATAGCAAGAGGGAATTGGTCCAGAGTGTAGAAGTCGGTGTTGTACTTCTCGAGAACAAGACGGCCAAGCATCTTCTCTTGAGGTGTTCTGGAAACATTAGTCAAGCCTTTGAGGATCGTTCCTTCGCACTTACGTCAGATCGTCGTAGTCTCCAAGCTCCTCACCAGCTTCGCGCAGCATCTTGATAC